TATAGTGTTTTTATCCTACAACAATGGCATACACAGTCAATACACAAAAATTATACTTTTAGCTTCTGTTGTTTCAGAACGAAGTGTTGAATGTATTGATTTTACAATTATAATGACTCATGGGTATTATTTTTTAGAAATTCGTTTAAACAATACCTACTACGATAAACAAAATATAGATAAACAGGAATTTTGAATAAAAATCAGATTTTGTTATACTGTCGTATAGTTTATTAAAAAACGAATAATTGTAGATTGGTACTTGAAATTTTTGCAAATATCTTTGTAGCTAAGTATGATATGGTATAATTTTAATGTTTTTCATGAATATCGAAGTTTGTCAAAATTGTGCACAAATGTAAAACTTATTTTTCAGTTAAAAATCCTTAAAATGTTTAAGGTATAGGTTCATATATACCTAAGATCTTAAAATTAATAAAAGTTTTCATATAAGCATTACAAGAATCATAAAAAATGAGTATAATTCCTCAATTTAAATTTTTTTGTAGAAATTTAAAAAGTATTAACCGTGGAAATTTGAAATATTCCGCTGTTAAATAGTTAATTAAAATCTTCTATACTCAACATCTTTTAAAAATATTTATGCTAAATTTAAGCTAATTTTACAGTTTTTAAATTTTTTTTAAGTTTTAATAAATAAATAAGTTTTTAAGTTGTAAGTATTAATTCTAGTTTGAAGAATGAAAGTTAATAGTAAGTATAAAATATGTTCTTACTAAAACCTAAAAATCTGATAAAACAGAAGCAGTATCCACAATTCCTATTGTCCATGCAAATGCATATTGGTACATGTATATTATATATGTCATGCGATTACTGATTTCATTCGACATTAGAAGTAATAAGTTATTAATTTTATTAAAAATTATGAATTATTATAGTTACCTTTAGAATCTAAAAAGTATGATAAGGTTGGTATAGTAATGTAATACTTATTCTAATAAAAAAGTACGATATTAACACGATGACGTAATAATGGTAACGCTCTCAGTGTCGCACAAATTTATAGGTTGGTTGTTCATTTGAAGTTGAATAATGATGGTCATATGAATTTTAAATATCATTCAATGATGCAGATGCAGCACGAAGGCTCCTTAAATGGGCTTCGCAAGAGTTGATCCTCGGGGCGTATGTTTATTGCGCCAAAATTACCTTTTTACCTGTAAAATATCTATTGATTGCGAAACGTATCGACTCCGCCGAACTTTTTTACCTATTGATTCCGCTGGGCCCCGATTATCAATCCACTGAATATTTGTAAATTACAAATCTAAACAAGCTAAAGTAGAATATATGAATTATATGACCAATATATTCTCTTGTATAAAACTGGCCTATATCACTATTTTTTACCATATACCTATATATGTATTTTACTTATTTTATTATTTACGACAATTATTGATAATTATTCAAATTATATGAAATTAACTGTATTTTTTATTACTTTGAATATTATATTATCCCTTTTAGACGAAAATGTTTGAATTGTTTTTTGAAATTCTTTTCACCACGACAACACTTCAATAAAAAGGTGACGGTTGAACTTATTATGGTCGCGGAGTCTATTGATATACATATACAACAATGGAGATCAACTCGTACATACTTAATAATGACCCGGGAATCAACTAATACATAAAGTAGGTCTCGAGAATCAACTCACTTACTGTGCTATTAAATGATTCTTGAAAATAAAAATACTTACCTACTTAAAAAAAAATCATATTATTTTACTTATAATATTGTATTAAATACGTCACACAACAGGTAGTGTATGAGCCATGAGGTACTAAAATATTATGGTTAATATAATAATAATATATTAATATGTGTATCGCATACGACATGCACATGAAATAAAAAGTGTTTTAGCGTAAGAAGAAAAAAAGGTATTAAAATAACATTATGAAACAGTCGCCAGGAAATTCAAGGTGTCGTGTGCACTGTGCACACCGCGGAGTGTTACCACCATGCCCGTGCGTTTGCGGTCCGCGCAATCTCTGTCTCCATTCTCTAATCTCAGATGAGTTATAGACGAATTTATCAAGATCGCTTCCCCCGCAGTTGTAGCCAGTAAGGCATTTTGGATTATCTTATTCAGTTTAGACACAGAACGTTAGAGCAATCTGTGATTGTTCACAGCCTGCAGTTGCTGGTGCGGTAAAACGTGATATTTATCATGTATTGATTTTCAGTGTAGCACTTAACCGATGGACCAACGTTGTCTCACGAATCGGAATATTGCCTAATGCTTTTATACAACGTTATAATAATTGTCGTGTTCACTTATCATTAATCGCACTGTATATCAGTGTCAAAGGCGGTCTCCGGTCAAGCTTGACGCCCAAAGGCATATAATTATGAATCACACCTAAATGCATGTGATTATCATTCGGTGGCCTCGCAGCATCGATATTACAGAACGGAAGCTACAATTAAAGCTATAATAACAGCATAGAGGGAAGAGCGTGTCGGAATGAGGATGAGAAAAACACTATTTTACTCACATTGGCAGACATTGGTATTATGGGTAGAATGTAGAATTCTTATTATCTATGATTTATATAATATGTATAATTCATAGAACTTCAACTAATTATAGTCCAGTCTTCTTCACGTTTCTATCGTGTCAAGTATTCAAGACGGGTAACACTTTTCGGTTACTTGGTTATTCTGATTTTTTCGGTTACGATACAGTACAATATAATATTTTAACTAAACGAGCTGCATCACTGCGGCATGTCGGCATGCGATATATATATATATATATATATATATATATAGAACATTTTCTGTACTTTTCTGGATTACAAATATTTATACATAATAATACGTATAGAACATTTTCCGTTTTTCTGGATTATACAACTTGTTGAAGGAGAAAGAGAAGTAGAGACCACTTTCATATTCATAATGATTTATTAATATTTCATATTATTAGGATATTATATTATATAATAATATGTCTTCAATGTTTTTATACAGTGTAGTTGTATTAAGGAATAGAAATAGATTAMATTTAATCTATTTAATGGTCGTATTATTAATAATTCAGATAAATTAACTATAAATCATGACAAAATATATCTATTTTGCCATGCTATAAATAAGACATTGTGATTAGTGAATGACAATCGGGTAACCATAATAGGTAGTATATTAATTCTTTTATTTTAAAGTTTCAAACTAGTGATACCACTAAAAGAAACAATAATTATTTTAACAAATTTTTTTAAAGTTTCGATGTTGACAATTAGATTCGACGCCACCATTTTTCGGTCAGAGCTGTTATCAATTTTCGGACAATTGCAGCTGTTCTCCCTAAATAAATATGTTTGTGATAAGATATATGTATGATAATCACAATTAGTGGTCTGATAGCCTGCAATGCCAGCTTAGAGCCATGCTCATAGTCCATAGACTAGCCTGCTATATCCACCTTGCCTATAAGACTATAATAAAAGTATAAACTAGTTTATGTTCTCTTTAGCTTTCACCGTGACCGTATTCTGCTTTTCTAGTTAGTAGTTATGTTGATTTACCGTTTACTATTATAGTAAACTATCGAGTATCGAAATTTCACAGTCAATCGTTACTCGCTACTCCGATTGCCATACATCAAAATAATATCATCGCGTTTATAATTCATGTCTAAACCCATAGTTAATACAATTATATTCTTAACACTTGACAGTTGACACTATACGTCTATAATCTACAACGTATAGTCATGTAATATTATCGCCCACTGGCATGGCAGTTAGATATTCAAATTACATTATTTTGGCATTCAAATTATACATTAGACGCCGTTTACTACATATTTTTTTCTAAATCTGACTCGAGTCCATCCGCAGTGTTGTTGTTCGTGTTTAATTATTATTTTTTTTCGATTTAGACACTAATTTCACTCATTTTACGGCTAACTAAAATATCCACAATAAAAATGGTTTTTACTTTCAACGGAATCTCTATCGATCATACTACGGTTTTTTGTACAGACGACTTTCTGGTAATTTCCGCATCGTTAACTGAACTGTCTGAACTCGAATGCAGAATACTACAAAGTACGTCAAACTTCAATGATTTAATTGACAAGATATTATGGGGGGGGGATATCAGCAATTAATCATATTAACATATTATATTAGTAATAATTACTAGTTAAACTGGGACAATCGCACGTGTTCCTACAATCTACATTTCATTTAATCACTAGTAATTATTATTCTGTGATTAAGATTATAAAATTAAAAACACCAACCGTGTTATTCCAATCGAAGATAACAAATATATTTTTATATCCCTTCTTTTGAGTCATGGACATAATATTGTTCTATCTTGTATTTACCTAATCATAGTCCGTAGTTGTATTACAATACATGAATGATAACAAACCTTTATTTTATTGATAAACAATCATTTTCAATTTAACATTTTCGTCATAACCTTCGGCTTTTGGCAATGATGGCGCTCCAGCAATTCGAGTATTGGTACTTTATGGTTCATTAATGAGTAAAATTAATCACATTTTGTATTTAGCACAATTTTATAGAATTATACAACCATCATTGAAATTATTAATAAAAATAAGGTATACATTATCATTCATCAACATGATTTCTCAATAATCACGCAAATAATGTTCATAATTATTAATTCAATCTCCACTTATGACATTATAGTTCAATCGTTAGCTTAAGAAACTATTACGTCATGTATAATTCAACATTTTTAAGCCATGCTTTTAGTTTTAGATTTATTAATTATTTAAATATTAAAATAAAACTATGTTTACATTATATTATATTATAACTTAACACATTTTAAAATATTTATAAAATGTTTAAATTTTTCATTAGGTACGTTATTATTTTTGATTCGATTTAGTTTTTATTATAGACGATTTTTAATAGAATTTATAGTTACGCCTTGATATTATTTTGTGTAGACTTCATAACTTTCGTTCTAAAGGGTGATACCACATTTTGGGAACCCGTTATAATCAATCGTCACAAGTGCATTACTAACTTCATGTTCGTGGCACATAACACATCCTCGGGGCAAAAATATTCGAGCGACTTCACTTTCACTAAACTAAGTTTTTCATGCAGATCGGCAGTTCGCCTATTCAGAAATAAATATAATTATTTATTAGTTCATAATTAATTTATTTATTATGAGTTTTGATGAATATGAGACCTTACCATCGTCTAATGTGACTGATCACATGCTTGCTGGTGCCATTGCAGGGATTATGGAACATTGTGTTATGTACCCTCTAGATTCTGTAAAGGTAAGTGGTTAGTCTTATTCATATATTTTAGAAAGTACGTAATTTTATGGATTAAAATAGTAATGGAAATCGTGTAAATGTATACTATTTATCTAAAATTTATCACATTATCTCAAGGTAAATTAGGAAATTAATACATAATTTAAAGTCTAGTAATTAGGGTAGGTACTTATTTTAGAAATTAATATAAAAAAATCTTGCATTATATTCAACTTCCATGGTTTATGAGCTTAAATATTATTTAAGTACTTACTAATTTATACAGTTTTATTTTTGTTAATAATTAAATCTTGGTTTTTTTACTATAATATTTACATAAGTTTTTATTTTCAGTTTTTCTTTTAATTGAAATTGAATATAAATCAATCTCATACTTAACCTGAAATTACCTACTCATCTTTAATTCATCTTTAGTATTATTGGGTTAATATTAAACTTCAAAAGTGTTTGGGTAATTTGTGTTTATGATACATAACCTTAACACCAACTTCCTGTATTGTCCCTTTTTAATTCAGTAATAATGAATGTATGAAATTATTACTTAACTGATATGATCTATGAAGATTATTCTTGTATTTCAACTTAAATCAATTTTTTTTCTTTTAGACTCGGCTACAGGCATTCATGCCATCTGGAAATGTAGGGAATCGTGGAATTGGCACTGTCCTTTTCAATATGATAAAACATGAAGGATATTTAAGACCAATGCGTGGAATGGGGACAGTAATTATAGGTGCTGGTCCTGCTCATGCTCTCTATTTTGCATCTTATGAACATTTGAAGCAAAAAATTTCCCATCAAACACCTTTAAATATGACAGTTTCCTCAGGTGTTGCTGGATGTGTTTCAACTATTATACATGATGCAATTATGACTCCAACAGATGGTAAAATTAGCAATACCATGTTAAATTAATTTTGTTATATTAATTTTATTTTGTAGTTGTTAAACAACGTCTACAAATGTCAAATTCACCATATAATGGTATTTTAAATTGTGTGAGTTCAATTTGGCGAACTGAAGGATTAGGAGCATTCTATCGTTCGTACATGGTACAGCTGTTCATGAACGCGCCATTTCAAATAGTTCATTTTATGACATACGAGTATTGTCAAAATTTTTTGAATCCAGATAGAATATACAATCCTTTATATCACATGATATCAGGAGGCGTTGCTGGGGGACTTGCAGCTGCCATAACAACGCCATTGGATGTGTGCAAGACTCTATTAAACACTCAAACTACAAATGTAAGTGAAATATCTAATTTTTATTTTTAGAATAATTTTTTTCATTATTAATATTAATTGTTAAGTTACTAACACATTGGCCAATAGATTAAAAATAAAACTGAATTTAGATTTCGTTAATATATGCCATCAATCATCTTAATACAAAATCATTTTGTCACTTTATTCTAGTATTTCTTATTAAATTCTAATATTAATCTATTATACCTAACATTTGAAAAAATAAATCATGGTTGTGATATAACATTTTTATTATGAATTTAAAAACTTACAAATCATTATGCAAATTCTAGATTTGATTTAACTATGATAAACTAGGTTTTTAATACCTGAATACTATTAAAAAATATTTCTATGTAATTAATTAATTTTTTTCTTATGCGTTCTAACCAAACGCAATATAATATGTCAAGTATTGAACTATTTAATATTGTCATGTTTATACAAGGTTAGATTTCTGTTGTTGATAGTATATATTTTGTTATTGATTTATTTAAATTAATTGTTAAAGCTACATTTATTTGTTGGTAGTTTTATAAGTAATATTTTAAACAAATTTCATATTTTACAGATGAAATTGATTTTATAAATAAAAAAAAAAACTTTTTATTTGATTATATTTATAATGTCACCATATTTTTTATACGCATAATTTATTTCAAACTAATGTTCATTATTAAAATACTTGAAATTTAAATTGCACTAAAAATAAGTTAGTGCATTTTAGTTTCATAAATAATATGAGAAATAAAAAATATTTATATATAATTCATGATATAAAATTTGAGATTATTTATAATAACATAAATAATTATCTATAGAAATTAAGTATAAATGAGTGATAATTGGAATATGAATTTTTTAAAATAACATTTTATTGAAATGATTTGATAACATTTATTTTTGATCTTAAACACTTTTACATAAATAATCATGTATCTATTAATTATATTATAGTTAGATTCATAGAACACCTAGGCAAGTGGAGACTATAGGTTTTACAATTCTTTTATTTTATTTTCAAATAAAACATTTGAATTTTTGTATGCCTACAGTACTKTAGTACATATTTATGTTGAACTTAAAAAAAGTTACCTATCATTTTCTGAGGGATTTTGAGAAGATAGTAAAAAACTGTAAAGATATAAAGAAATGTTCTTATGTTTTCGTTATAATTTTTGACAAATTTTGGGTAAACCAACAGAAGTAATATTTTTAAAATTCAATTATTTATCATTAATTTCATATTTTATTACACAGTCAGCTTTCAGTATCCAACCAGTATTGTCATCAATATTTTTTAGTTTAGAGATAGTAATTTTGTGAAGTTTGTATTTTTATTGTTATATAAACTATAAACATTTTATATGTTAGCTATAATGGAGGGCAAACATACTAATTCTTGTAAGTATGTTGGAACCATTATTTCTTGAAATTAGATCATGGTCAGATTGAACACCTGTCACAATAGGTACATTGTACCTGGTAGGGGAATAGCTTTGAAATATTGTTATCTATACATTATTTAAATTATTTTACTATTACCATAAGTTAATTTATAATTCCGATATGTAGGCATGTGTTTAATTACTTTGGTCAATATAATGATAATTATAATTTATTACAATTGGAAATATGGAAATATGATTTGCAACTAAATACTTGCATATTTTTTTTTTATAATATTAACATGACAAATTATTTTAATTGTGTAAAAAATGTTTTTTAAAAGAAAGCTTTTGTTAATTTAAAATATAGAGTCAAAGTTTTAATAGACAAAAAGTTTTTTAAAGTACTGTTTTTTTTAGAATAGTTATTAAAACATATGCCAATATCTAATAATATATGTGTTTAAAATAATAATACAATTAAAGAATTAAAAGTTGTTAAGTCTTCACAAATAACATACAAGATTTTATTTATGTATAGAAGATAAATAAATTTAAAACAAAAGTGTATTATAATCTTAACTTCTAAATTTCTCTTGTAATAAACTAATAAATAACTAAGTATGAGCATTTAATAGGTTCAATGGCAAATGGCCAATTTAAATGGTAAATTTGATAATTATAAATGTTCTATATAATATTGTACCTATATAGGATATACTATTTTTAAAATACTATTTTTTTATTTATTAACTTTGTTTTTTTTTTTATTAATTAACTCGTGGCAACATAGGCCATTGAGTGCAGGGTGGTTACTGTTTGGTTTTTAAGTTGGGTGGGGTTTTGGTACACGTTTGTGTTTTTTGGCAGAATTTCTAGTAGGCACCTGTAGGTTTCTGCCATGCCCAGGTAGGGGACGGCGGCCTCTCTCCAGACAGCGTGAACTGCCTGGCAAGCGATGCTGCCCATGACCGGGATTCGAACCATTATTACCTTTATAAAAGTAATTTAATCAATATACCTTAATTATTGGATCTTATTTAACAGGTAACAAGATAGACATTCTGTTTTTATAACACTAATTTGTAATGATTTGTTTTTATAATAATCATATAATAACCTTATATTTATGATTGGGTTTTGTTTCAAAGATAGTATAACAAACTAATAAATTACTTATAAATTTATTATTAATATGTTTGGCGTTACAATTCAAATTAAAAAAAAAACTGAAATAATGTAATTTTTAGTTAAGGGGATTTGAAGCAGCGGTTTTCTGTCCTTGTCTGACACACGTATAAAATAGGATTATAGACGTGTTATATGTCCAATGTATCAATCAATATAATGAAGTGATAAAAATGCTTAAAACAGATTTAAATAAATTGTTGTCCAGTTTTCTTGAGATTGACTTTCTCACATTTTTGTTATCTCTCAAAATCTCTTAAAATAGTAATTAAAAAATTGACATATTTTAATTTTTGGAGAAAATCAAAAATATGTGAAAGTCGATCTCAAGAAGACTTGACAACAAATTAAAATCTGTTTTCAGAATTCTTATCGCTTTATGATACCAATCGGTATGTTGGATATAATGTAAAGTATAATTAATTTAGTTAGTTTAAGTTAGTAAAATTAATAAAAATATAGTTTGTCTAACATTTTTATGTGTACAACTGATATTATGATTTATAATTGTATTATTCACTATTTTTCCAGTGATCAAAATTAATTTAAAATAAGATATGATTTTAATAGGCCCATTTAGATTTTAAATTCAATTTTTTGTCATTCATCAGTAAAGTTATTGTAAGATTGTAAAATATTGCTATTTTATATTTTAGCTATCAACTTTTGAAATTTAGTTCTCTTACATCTAATTGTTTTTGTTTAAAAAATAAGAAATTGTATTATATTTTTTTTTCACAATAACTAAAAATACATTATGGCAAATTTTCTATCAAACTAATTACTTGAATACACTTTTTCTTATTTAATATTTATTGTTCCTTTATTTTTATGTGAATGGTGTATGTGACAAAATTCAACTATACCATTTCAGAATATATAATGATTATCCACTTGAATTTATGAATGCTATAATCCTTTATTATAGTAATTATAGTTATTAAAGTATTATAAAATTTGGTTGTTGAAACATTTTCGTTGTAATATATTTATACATTAATACGTATTATTGGGTTAAATTGTATTTGTTCAGCTATCATAGTTTAATAATAGTAGCAGTAGTAATTAATAAAAAAAAGAAAATATATTTTATTGAATTTGTTTTTTGTATGATATATTCTCAAGTTCATTCAATTGAAGTATTTCAAGTATTAATATTTACCTATTAGCTATCAGCATGTTAGCACAATTAGGTATGTTGGTGACTAGGTTAAAAAGTCACTTACATAATAAACATAACGAGTTTTTTTGATAAATTATCTCATTAAAGTTACATAATACTTAAATTACTGTTTAATTAATTATAATTAACTGTTTACATTATTACTTCAATCCAAATTTTTATTCTTAAATTAAAAATTAACAATTAATTATGTTAAAATTAAAATTAATTTTAATTTTAAGTTGTTATTGTATGAATAGACATTAGAAATTTCTGTTAAAAAAAAGTGCAAGTTCATAGGTTATTTTTTAGCTTGTTCATAAATATTAATTATTTAAAATTATTAATGTGGAATATATTATTTTACAAAGAAATATGCTACTAAAAATGTAATTATTCATTGCATGGGTGGGTAATTTTATTGTACTTTAATTAGTTGTTAATAAATACTATGTGTTAATTATATTTTACTACTATAATTATTGTGATTATAGGTTATACATTATTTAATTCTTGTATAATTCTATTTTGCCTTGGTAACTAGTTTATATTATATTATTGTCATAGGCGAAACTAAAAAATTGTATTAGGACAGGCCAAATGAAAAATATGAAAAAAAATTCTAATTATAAAATAAGTTTTTTTATTTAAATTTAAATTTTTATTATGTCAGTATATTATCCAGTTAGTTATGCCATGGCCTAAGTGGCCTGACCCATAGTTTTGCCTATGATTATTTTCATTCATTATTTTATTACGAATTAGACATTAGTCTCATTTATGTATTTAGCAGCCAGTATTATTATTTGAATGCTAAATTTTCTTAAATCCTGTTAATGCAAAGTTAAGTCTTACAATTTATAGCTGTAAAACATTTAAAATAAGCAATTAATATTTAAATTAAATATTAAAACTTGTGATATAATTAAAAAAAAATTTTAATTTATCAATTAAAAATTGTTTCATATTTTCTAGGTAAGAGTTGAAGGTTTATTTCGTGCAGTCGCAACTGTGTATACCTTGGGTGGTCCTAGAGGATTTTTTAGAGGTATGGTAGCTCGTGTCTTGTATCAAATGCCATCAACAGCTATATCCTGGACGACTTATGAATTTTTCAAATTTATACTTATGAAGAAATCAAACATTTCCGATGATCGGCCACCTCCTCCACCTCCTCCAATAAATTCATCATTGATAAATGAAAAAATAACAAAAACAACTAGTGTTCGATGTGATTTGCCTGTAGCCTCAAGATCACGTATATATAGTCATTATACAGTTAGAGATGATGCGTCTAAAGGTCAGCAATTTTAGGTTAGTATTGAGTTACCTGGTCTAAACTAGTTTATTGTGGGCAGACATTAGTTTATTATGTATACAAATTGTTTTTAAATTAGGCTTGTTATTAATTGCATAATGCTGCGTATCCAGATTAAATTTTTAGTTTCAGGTGTTCAGTATTAAATTATATGATGTATAAATAAAAACATAGACATTTTAAAAGCACAAAGAAATTAATAATTTTGTTTTTAAAAACTATGGGGGTATTTGGCGAATATTAACATTTAAGAGGAATTCATATTCTTAAAGTTAAAAATTATAACTATTCACTTTATATTTTAAATATTGATAACTTGGTTAGTGAGCAAAATTATATGATTATTGTTATTTGTATACCTTTAAATTTTTTCTCTGTCCCAAACTCAATTCGGAATTCCTATAATTAATTTAAAAAACTATATGTATGTATGCATGTATGTATGTATGTATGTATGTATGTATGCATATATATATGGTCTTATATAATATTAACCAAACAGATGTATTATATATATTTATGTTATTTTATTAGTGTATAATATATAACATGTATAAATGTATATAATACTATCTATGTACAATATATTTATTTGGTTAAAATATAAAAATAAGTATTGACCCTTATTTTCTAATTCTTATAACACTGTCGTAATAGTTAAAATAGTGTTTCCGTAGAATAAATATATACTTATACATAAATGTATATATATGTATACATTTATAAAAACGCCTTATATTTTTGACAATTGAACAAAAAGCACAAGCATAAAAGTTGTCAACAGAGACATTTTATAGATTTTGAGAGACACAATTATTTACAACATAATATTACCCCTTAAACAGTTAAATTATAAATATTTTTAAGTAATAAAATATTAAAATGTATATAATTTACACAACAAATATTTTCTATTTTTAGTTGTGAAAGTAAGGAAGTTATTTCAACTACAAAGAGTTGTAATTTTTTGCTGTTTTGATTTTAATGTATTAGTTAAGTGTTTCTGTTCAAAAGATCACTACTAACTTGTTGTAATTATTGTTTTTTATAGTCTCAAGTCCGAAGACAATATTTGTGTAGTCTTCTATTGTGTTATTTTAGTTAAATGTAATACTAACTATTTTTTAAGTTATCATTTAAATAGTTATTAGTTGTTTTACCGTGTTTATAACAATATTATTAGGATCTTGTGTTTTACTATCCAATAATATAAGTTATTACTGATTAAAATACTTCACTTTACAATACTAGACATACCCATCTTAAAATATATAGACTTGTTATGTCTATGTATGTTTTTAAAATATATAAAAACAAGTTAGGTGTATTAAAATGTCTTTTTGTCTGTGATATGTTCATTTATTTTTATTATTATTATTATTACTATTATTATTACCTTTTGTTATATGATTATGTTTTTGTTATTATAACGATGTTCACTTTGGAGGAAAGTAATATCATTATGTTAACGTTTGATATAAATTTGAAATAATTTTATTTTTATAAAAAATTAAGAATGATAAAATTCAATGTGTATGGTTACAATAATAAATAATATTATGAAGAATAAACACTTCAAGTGTAAATGCAAATTAATGAAATTAAATTGTTACAATGATTAAGTTTATTCAATATTTTATGTACATCACAAGGTTTTTACTACCAAGTGATTACTATTTATTTTGTATATGTACAGTACCTACTATATTTAATATTCATAGACATAGTTACGGCTAATTAGTAAATATTTAAGAAAAATCAACATTTTTCCTTGTAAATCTAGTATGTGCCTCACAAAAATGACATTTCTGTTAACCGTTATATTATATCWTCATGTAAACAACTTATTGCTTATTTTAAGCGAATGTTATGAAAAAAAAAAATAAAACATCAGACAATAAAAACACCATTATAATTATTTTTGTTATAATATAATGTTAATAATTGAACCCTTCTAAAATCATAAACAGTTTTTGAAAAATAGGTGTCATTTGTTTTTAAATGATGATACCTACCTCTTGTTATCCCATTTGTTGTAAACGTTTATCTTTGTTACTGTTTTGTATACTAGTGTTATTTTTACTGAAAGCCTTGGTTGAAGTATGTATTACATATTTTCTTTTATGATTGGATAGTTGAACATTTAATTAGGTCTGTGCAATTTCTTTTCATTATGATATGTATGTAGAAGGTTCCTTCTAATTTAAATATTTCAATGTCGAAGTATAATTTGGAGGTTAATAAAAACAATGCTGCTTATATAGTGGTATTAAAATATTTATATTTTATATTGATTCATAATTATTATTTGTATACGTATTTGAGAAATGAAATTTGGTTATTCTGAAACTGGTTGTTCCTATCAATATTTACTTTGCTTAGTGATAATAAATCGAGCAATTTCAAACACAGTTTTCAAAATAAGAACTATTTTCCAGTGTTTGTGGATYACGAGTAAATAATTTATCTCAATCATAACGTGAAACCGCTCTTTGTGACTTCTGATTTATCGTATAATATTAAGAGAACGTTAAACCCGCATGTGTTTTCAAATGTACAACGGGTTTATGCTAACTCCCCTAACATTTTATAAATTCCCGTAAAAACATTTTGCTACAGTATTACACTTATTTTGATTACCAAAAGTGAGCCAGCTAATGAAATAATTAAGCCAGGTTAAGAATATCGGTAAACTAGGATTTAGTATTTATCAGTGAGCAATATATTTCCACAAACAATTTTCTAAATCAAAATAAAACAACTATTGAACTTTTATCGTATATCGTAATGTACGGTGTGTATACCTATTTTACTTTACATGTTTGTTTATATAAATTGTATGCAACTAATAATTTAAGAAATATAAATTTTTTTATCAAATAACAATATAAGGTCATATAATATAATATTTATATTTAATCTAATTCTATTCTGTTATGTAATCGTCATGCGCTTTTGGAACCAACTATATAGGTACAATCATTTGTTGTAATAGGTAGGTATACTATACCACTGTAGGAATCTACATACCTAATGTTTCATGAAAAACGATTAAGTTGCTTATTAAAATTATTACAGTTTTTTATATTTACGGATTGTGAATACGTCTGTGTGAATTGTGGCTTTAAAATACTTGTTAAATAGATCGCTTAAAAATGTTTTTTTTTTGTTTTTTAACAAAATAATGTTAATAAACCCTGTCCGAGGTGGAAAAACAAATGCAGTACAGTATTATTTGATCATATAGGTATATTTACGTTTTGATGTCCTTTATTGAGCCTATTATTTTTTATAATTTTGAAGTAAACGTTTTCAACGTGCAAACGTCTCTGTATTTTACTTTGAATAAAAGATACGATTTGTAAGTGAATTAAACTTCAAAATGAAAACCTCATGTGYCACTACTATTAATTGTAATTTTCCTACGCCACGAAACATCAGCTGCTGGTATTGTTTTGAACTCGATATTTTAAATTAGTATTATTTGATTTTGTCGTTTATTATTGTTACTGCATAGGTTTGAAAATTCTCAACTACCTATACAATATACGGATACTGTTGCAATGAAGGATATTGTATTAATTTAATACTGAAAAAATACTAAATAGCTTGTTGGTTCATAACGCACACTATACAGTGTACAGTGTAGGTGCACGTTTAATTGTTCCTATACTTTGAGTATGAGTATTTGAGTCCAACTAACAGTGGTCAATTGCTACTTGCAGATTGACGGTAGTAGAGATAATAAACTGTCTTGGGAACATGTTAGAAAAAATAAAACTACGAATTACCTGTCGACGATTACACTATAAGTATTGTTGTAATGTTGTCTTAAAATATAAAAATAATAATTAGATACGCTTATAAATTTACTTAAAATTGATAAATTCTACGTTACTTATAATTGTTACATCAGTTGGATTGTTAATACCAAAGGATTGATATTTTTTATTATTGTGAATTGTTGTGTTTTAAATAAATAACGTTTTGTCTGTCAATGATCACTGGTATCTCCAGGGTCATCTGCAAATATTTAATATTCTAATGGTGTGTCCATCGACTGATTTACTACTTATAGCGTTGTCCTGTGTAATAAATACGCATCTAAATGATGGCTGCAGTGAAAAGATCCGGATAAAAATTTAAGTCTCTCGTTCCCTGCATATCTACATACTTAATACACACTTACGTACTGTTCTATACTCGTTCGAATTCGGAGAAGACTTGTCGGCGGTTTTCGTTCGTTACCTAATACTGCTGGAAGCCTGGAACTCAACCTATATCCGGGACCACCTTATCCGTGACTTACCGTTGACAATCGGCGTGGGCTGCGAGTCGATGCGGATATTAATCGCACACCAATTTCATCTAGTCGTTATGTAGGCTAATGATTATGATCTGAGGATCTCGAGGCAATTGGTAGAGCGGAAACACTTGCCCTGAACACATTGGTGTCAAGAAGGGTTATACGTATCTTTATTGTAATAAACTTACTAGCTTATAGTTACCATCATATTATATATTATTATCTTCCTACACATATAAAGGAGGCGTGATGCGGCAATATATTACAACGTGTGCGATACACGGCTATAGGGTACGACGGCTATAAGTGACGATTTTGAGGGTATACGGACCCGAATAATCTTCGACCATACGTTACACACATACTGAAGGTGTTAAGAGTATACCTATACTTGTGCGATAAGTTTTGAAAGAATGCAGAGCACGGAGCACCTATACGACAAATGATCATAACGCGAACCTCCGCTGTAGAAAAATATGTTGTTGGTACCTATGCAAATAGTCTTATAAATCGTATTCCAAACGATAAACGAGTCCGGATGTATATAATACTCGTGTAAGTCGTGGCGACCCATTCGCGTGCAGTCCGTGTTATAGTTGTGATATTCCGAATTGCCGTATTGGTGTCAGTTAGGTACTACTCTAACATATACCGGGTGATACTTTTATCATTGAATACTTTATTGTAATATAGTATACCTATTCTATTATTTATACCGACTACCATAGCTTTTTTTTGTACTTCACAATAGGCTATATAGTATATATATGCAAATATTTAGTGTAGGTATGTTCCGATGTTCGTGTGGATTAGATTGTTACATTATTTTTAAAACCTTGTAGTTCAAGTGCTTTTAATGTTTTCTTCAAAAATAACATGTGTTTTTCATACGTTACACATAGCCAATTAATTTATTCGAAACGTAACTAGTCTATAAATTATCTTAACCAGACTGTAACTGCTCAAATACCTACGGCAGGCTACTACATAGTAGGTATACCATAGTATACATTGTATACCACGATGACCTACCTACCTACGTTTATTTTATCGAACACCTTTAACCTATGTACCATTGTCAATTAATTAATAATTAATAATTAATAATACATAATCATGGTTGAACATGCGTTGTAATACTAGTAATACATACCAAGTCTCAGTTCCCTTCCCAATAGTATAAAAGTTATTTGCTCATACGTGGTCGTATATCAACTGAATAATATAATATACTATTATACCTGATTTTATTGTATTTAGTAAATGTTCACCGTTAGTTTTCACTTTAAAAACACTGTCTATACAAATAATAATACTTTGTTATATTTGTTACATTATTATAATATAGTGTTAAAATAATATTAAGATTCTTAATTACATACACCGTATTTGAATAACCATATATCTAAATAATAAATATATGAAATATAATATACCTACCTAGGTATAATGTATAATTATGTATTAAAAAAAAAAAATTACATAGCTTTGTGACGGTATAATATAATATATAATATAATATAATATAATATATGGTCTTTTATAAATTATAATCAAACTTAAATGGAAAACTTATAATAAATTTGACAAGTAGTAGTTTTAGTCTTTTAGAAATATATTGAAACGTGGTACCTTTTACAGAGACACCTCTAATCCTAGTGTACCTAGGTATTTAACACGTTTAGGTAATAGTGGGATACTTATTGGAGGTACTATTGGTCAAAATTGAAGCATGATTGTGTGTTTTTATACAATACTACTTCACAGTTGAAAAATAAATAATATACAATGTTTAAAGATAGAACATAACACGTTTAAAAATGTTGCTTTAGACTTCTATCGGCGAGGAAATGATTCCTCTATTAATATTTAATATATTATTGTAAGACTAAAGAAATAATCATATATAAAAAAACAAATGTACCCAAGAATAAAAACAAAATATTTTATGATTCCTAAATGTGTAGGTAGCCGTGTAGGGACCCTCTATTAATACTTATTAATATAATTATGTAAAACGATTAATTGATAAAAGTGTCGATGCTGAGTTGAATGGGCTTCACAAACTATGGCGTGTTAGAAAGCATTGATAAAAAAAAAGAAAAAGAATTTGGTGTCGCCGCATTGGTGACCTGACTCACCTGCAGTATCATGTTTAAGAAATATAATATCGATTTTGTACATTTAACTGATGTCATCACTGGTCTGCACTGGCCACCCGTTAGGTACCTCTGCGTATGAGTTATAAAATTATGATTATTATTTCATCAATATAGGTACCTACCTGCTTATCTTTTTATTTCCGCAATGCAGAAAAAACAAACCCAGTTTAAATAAATTAGGTACTTAGAAATTCATTACCTACGTTAATGATTATAAGACTTATAACTAGGGTTCGGAAGTTATACAGGATTTGCATATTATTCTGATTATGCTCTCGATTCATAGCAGACCAAGCTAGAAATCTGAGCTATACAATATTGAGTTTTAAAACTAAAAATTAAAAATGCATAGGTAACCAGCATATTTAATCGATTTTAAAGAAATAAGTGCATATTTCTTGGTTTTCGTACTCATATCATGCATATTTAATAATTTCTAAAAAATTGATTTTTTTCTTTCTTTAACTATGAATTTTAAATAATTTTACGTAACAATGTATAAATGATAATGTGGTTCGAAGTAACAACTTATCAGGTATTATAAAACATGTTATATTTATTTCGTATTTAATTTCACAATTAATTAAAATATACATTTTTTAACTGTTTGCTCAGTTCAATAAAATTATGCCAATCGTCTACGTGTCATATTTTGGTAATAAATTATATATAGTATTTTTTTGCATATTTTATAATTTTTTTGTGCATATTTTGCATTTTTTTTGCTCCTATAACCTCCGAACCGTGTACTTGTAAGTATTACGTATGATAATTAAACAAAATCAAAAGTAAGGTAGGATAGCATGTAGTAGTGCTGTTTTGAGAATAGGTACCCATGGAGGGAGGTATTTAATCTTAATTAGCTTTAAACTGTGTTTTTAACTGTCACTTAGTTTTGGAAAATAAATGAAAATACGAAAAATAAATAGCCATCAGCTTATTAGAGAAGCATTTGGGAGTTTTATAAAAAATTTATATTCAGTTGAGTCTTGGTTACTCGAAGGGGGATATATTTGCTTTGTGGTATACGAGTATGTTATTCGAGACATACCTAACTTGAATTTATGTAAAAATTTTAGGAATAAAAAAAAAATCTGGTTATAAAGTTTTTTTGAGTTATCGAGGTCCAAGTCTTCGTGACTCGACTGCAGTGCGTATACCTGTATTATAGAATCGTGTCTGGAGGATACAAAATGTCAGTGTTTTTTGGCATGCGTTTTGTACCTAACACGCACAACCTATACTTATGGTATAGGTAATATAACAAGAGGTGTTACTCATCTGCACAAAAAAAAGGTATGTAGACGCCCTCAAATCAGAAAAAAGGGCAAGGATAGCAATTATAAACGAAGACCTCACCTCCACTTTTATACTTTTCGAAAGCTGTTCAATCTACACCGCAGGAGTTATAACAATCCTAAGAGCAGTGGAGCTTATACTCGATCATGGGAACTTCTTTGAAAACAATATCACACTTTCAGATTCTCTAAGCACACTACAAAGCCTAAAAACAAAACAAACACAACAGACATAGTAAAGTCCTTCCTAGAAAAAATAATCCAAGCAAAACTCAGAGTTCCAAATATATACCCTTCATCTGGATCCCCGGGCACAGTAATATTGAAGGTAACAAAAAGCAGACGAAAATTCCAAGAAAGCAACAAAATCCTCAGACGTCCAAAAGCTAAACATTACAACATATGCAGATTTGAAAAGCCAAATCAAGGAACGCATGCTTCTTAAACGCAAACGCTCTGGCTTAATCAGAACACTGAACTCAGAAGAGTAAAAAACAAAATCTTCAGCTGACCTAATTTCCCCCCGAATAGAAGGGATAAGATAATCATAAATAGGCTCCTCATGAAAAAGGAAGAAAAATTACTGTGCATTTCTTGTGGAACTGAACTAACAGTCTGCCACATAATCACGGAATGCTACCAATTTATGGATGAACGAAGAAATTCAATCGTACCCGTCGCGTTGGACGGAGCCCTCGGACTGGACGCTACCACCATCGCACGGGTTATTCTTAAATTCTTAAAAAAACCAATCTGTATAATATAATCTAAAAAAATTTGTATACAAATTGTGAATAATGGCCTTTGCTGCTGATGTTAAATATTATTCAATAAAAAAAGGTATATATTGTTTAATTTTAAAAAGAAAATTGTACAATTGACTAAGATTTAAACAAAATTGTATTGATTATTATTATTATTATTATTATTATTTAACTGATTATCATTTAAGAAAGAAATATACTACTTTATTTTAATTATACCAGGTAAATTGGGCGCAATTGAGTGATCGGAAAAAACATACCTTTTTTATTTTGACGGTCTGTATTTAAAACGAATTAATTTTTTTGGTGCAAATGGCCGAGGGGGCGGTGGTAAACTCTMCCGATTGTATGGTAAAGTYTCCCGATTTTTAAAACTAGTAAACTCTCCCGGGTAAATATTATGTTTACCTGAAAGAAATGTGTAAACCTTCCCGGGTCAATATTATGTTTACCAGAAAGAAATGTGCAAACTCTCCCGAGTTATTTTAAATGTTATTGCTACTCTATGAATTGGCTRCACTGCAGWGRTTGYGATTATAATTTTYATTATGAATTGTATTACCGTATTTAATCTGTATTTATCTTGTGTTAACCTGTATTTGTCATTTAAATATTTAATTACCGTTAGAGTATTTTTAATTTAAATAT